CACACACACACACACACACACACACACACACACACACACACACACACACACACACACATACGCACACACACATACGCACACAGACTACCATCCCCAATATACCTTCGTTGATTACATCGCCTTTTCACCGTACTAGTTCAGTCACATCTTCCTTATGGAAACCCAAGGCATTCTATTTCAAACCTTTCGCTGAATATCCTGAAAACAATCTGGGTTCATATTCCCATTCCGATTCCCAATTTTTCTGCATTTGAAAAGAAAAAAAAAATCTCATAAAACTAGTCCAATTGGATCATTTGATATCAACTGCTTAATATTCCGGCTGTAGTAAATAGCTTTCCGTGTTCTCCCATTCAGAATCGACGGAGAAAGACCCAGCGGGGAAAGTAGGGACATCTTACCCTTTCTTCGAAACGCAAGACGAAGAGGAGAAAGCGATGAAGGAGGAAAAAGAGTAATCAAGAAATATAGACGACGACGAGGAAGAAGGAAGACGAAAAAAAATGAAAATAAGCACAGAAGAATTAAAGAAAAGGATAGTTTAAGAGAGAGAGAGAGAGAGAGAGAGAGAGAAAGAGAGAGAGAGAGAGAGAGAGAGAGAGAGAGAGAGAGAGAGAGAGAGAGAGAGAGAGAGAGAGAGAGAGAGAGAGAGAGAGAGAGAGAGAGAATCTGATTATGTTTCAATTACTTCTTACCTACCACGTTTTTTCTTAAAATGCATGTAAATCATCTAACTCCAAATGTTAATCCTAAGCCCACTCCATTCCTAAGCCTTTTGCAGACGTTGGTAGGAACGCCCCTTTTAAACTGCCAAGAGCCTGATTGGTCCATTTGCATTATTTGTGCTACTATCTGTCCATTCACATTAAATGCATTTGCGATTTATAACCAGACTGGTTTCAGTATGATTATGATAAAAACAATAGTAATAGTCTAAATGATTCTGAAGCGTTAGGTTTTTTAAAGGATTTTACGGTCTACCACCTCCTGGTCGAAGGCAAATAGATCGTTTTCACAAGAGCCAGTGCATTACTTCTGTTTTCAGAGAACCATTAACAGACAAGAAACAAGGGAGACAAGATAATGAACACAGCAGACAGCAAAGTACGGTTTAGAACAGGTCTGATTTTAAAACACATTAGATATAAACAGGTGGACTGTGACAAAAATACAGTTTATGGACTAGCCAGATCACCAGATTGTGTGTAAGTAGCGCTTCACTGTTGAGAGCTTAGGTTTGTGACATAGTATGGTTGTATATTTATTCATGTAAAAATGAGACTTCTAGTTTTCCTTTACGTGCAGATAATTGATATTATGATTTACTATTGCAATGCCTGGTAAAAACGTACCTGTTTGAAATGGGTAAACTGCCTGGTTTAGCGAACAATGAAAATATAAAAAACACACATAGACTCACATAGATACCCACAAACTAAATGAATCCAATTCCCCCATGGTACTTATGTCTCCTACTTCCATTTCCCTCTCAGCTTCATATGAAAGGGAAACGATTGATACAACTTCTCTGCATGTTTTTTTGTTTTGTTTTATTCTCCAATCTAAAACCGCTCATCCAATCAACATCAAACTCTACACTGCAGTTCTTTAGGTTCAATACAAAGTTCTTGAGATAAGCGAAGTAAGAGCACAAACAAACACAGAGAGATTTACTGACTGGAAATTCAATTGATTGGCTTGATACGGTAATAAATGGTATGTGTGATTAGTGATGAAATTTGTAAAGACATACAAAAAAGTGGTATTTGGTGTGTGTAACAATGTGATATGTGGACTTCGGCAGATTTTCTTTGTCAAAGGTAATTGGTGAGAACATCTGTCTTTGAATAAAGATTTGATCAAAGAATGTTAGTTTATTTTCATATTTGCCTTGTCTATCTTCGCGACAGATAGACATACTTTACTTTATGCACAATATCTCACAAGCTTTTCTGTCATGTATATTTAATACACTTCATTTATTTGCGGGAAATTCTCTTTATGCAGTATTTACACAATTTACTAACAGAGTCTGTCAAAACACAAGGACCAAGGCAAATGCAAATGACAGATGCGCGCGCGCACGCACACACACACACACACACACACACACACACACACACACACACACACACACACACACACACACACACACACACACACACACACACACACACACACACACACACACACACACACACACACACACACACACACACACACACACACACACACACACACACACACACACATTATAAATAGATAAATAGTTAGATAAATAAATAGATAGACAGAAAGATAGACAGATGACAGATAGATAGACCGACCGACCGACACAGAGACCGATATACAGACAGATTAATAGATAGATAGGTATACAGACAGATAGGCAGATAGATAGGTAAACAGATAGAGAGAGGGGGAGAATACAACCTGACAGCTATTAACTTACGGAGATTTAAAATGTCGTCAGATTTAAATTCACGTCAGCCCTGCGGCA